TTCCATTATGAATCCAGACAACAGACCACAGTGGTGTTAGCAGGACCTGTGACCTTGTCACCAATAGAAATCACAGATTTTTAAAAATTGCATTACAGATGTTCTGCATATCTTGAAATATCATTGACATGCACTGTGACTTGTAAATGATAAGTTCTTTGCTAAGCACTCATTTACTCACTCACATTTGTTTAGCACCTAGTCAATAGCCTGGTGACATGCCAGGACCTGGGCTGGGTGTAGGCAAAAGGGAGATGTGTAAGGCTCAGTCCCTCCCTCAAAAGAGAAAAGCAGACAGTGACAATGGAAAGGCTTGATGCTTTGATGGGGGGAAGTAGCTGATGCCCCCAACCCATCCCAGAGGGATCAGGGAAGGCTTCCCAGAGGAAGTGGCCTCTCAAATGAGTAGGAACAAACCACACCCCTGAGTGCTGAGAAAAAGTGTTCAGGGAGCAGAAACAACATGAATAATGATGCTGGGAAAGAAAGAGGATGCCGGGCTTACAAAGTATTCCATGGGGGTGAAGGGAGGGGAAGAAAGAAGCAGGGAGCTGGCTAGAGGGGTCAGGCAGGCCCCCGGAAGTCATGCTCTGCGGTTCCCTTGCCGTGGGGAGGAAGGGGTGCTGGCGCTTGCTGCCCCATCTGTCTCAGTGGCATTGAGCTGTGACTTCAGTGGCCTGGGGAAGTTCAAGGTCACGTCTGGGGTGGAGGAGGTGGAGACCATGTCGCCAGGGTTGGCAAAGGCCAACTGGGAAGCTGGGGCCAATACCTGCCCCTCACTGCAGCCGCCACAAGGGTCCTTCTGCTCAGAAGGCCCGAGCAGGCTCTGTTCCTTTATTTATGGGCTGTGTGAGCAATTTGCTCCTTGCCGGCCGGCTGGCTGGGTGTGTGATGCGGGGATTACTCACGCCCCAGTTGTGGTCTGGCCTCTGCAGGCTGCGGGGTAGTGAGTGAGGTAATTAAGTGTAAAAGATGGAGCAGGCAAGGGAGGGCTGAGGGCGGCGAGCAGTCACTGGTTCTTTTCAGGAGCAGGGGAGTGAGATAATGTAGGATAATAGCCTAGCCAGGCCCTGCCCAGGCAGCCCGGCCTGTGCCGAGAGGTGCCCCCCAAACAACCAACATAATTCAGCCTTTTCAGGGAAAATGGGGGGGCTTGGGCAGGGCTTGGCTCCCAGGGACAGCTGTATGGAAATGACAGCTCCTCTCCTTCGTCCTGTCCTGTGTGGCTAAGGGTAGGGGCAAGTGTAAGTGTCTTCAGCTGGGGATGAGGCTGGGGCCGGGGACAGTAGATGGAACCAGGAAGGCCAGTGTTTGAGAGGAGGGATCCACACAGGGCTGGGAGACTACACAGTGGTTTGTGGTGGCAGACTCCAAGGCCTGACTCACCTGGTGGAAACTGGCATGGCCTTGGCTAGCTGTGTGACATTAGCCTAGTCGTGGTCCTTCTCTGAGCCTCAGGACTCTCATCTGTCAAATGGGGCTGTCAAACAATCCCTACTTCCCAGGGGTGTTTGGAGAATGGGGTGTTTGGAGAATAATGTGTAGTGCCTGGCACACGGGGTGCTCGGTAAATGCTTGACATGGTGAAGTCCAGAATCAGAGTGCACTAGTCATTCACTCATTTAGCGAATAAACGTTTACTGAGTGCCTACTGTGTTCTAATGGCTCCTGGGAAAGCAGCAGTGAATGGAACAGAGTCCCTTTCCTCTTGGAGATGACATTCTAAGATGGGAGACAGACCATTAATCATGAAACACATAAGCATAAAAGGTCATACCAACAATACTACCTCTGAAGGCTTATCCTACAGACATGTTTGCACACATATGGAATGAATGCATTCATGGTTATTTATTGCAATTTTGTTTGGCATAGCAAAATCTTAGTAATGATCTAAATGTCTGTTACACATGGACTGACTGAAGTACGGAATATCTGAATGATGTAATATTAGCCATCAAAAAGGGTGAGACCATTTCTGCTTTTATTTATTTATTTAAAGATAGGGTCTCACTATGTTGATCAGGCTGGTCTCAAACTCATCACTGGTGAGATCATTTCTTATGTACTGATATAGAAAGCTCTCTAAGATGTCTTGACAAATAAGAAAAGGAATGTGAAGGATAGTATCTGTAAAAGAGGAGGCAATTAAAAAATGTATTTATATTAGCTTGTGTATATATAAAACTAACAATAGTTTCTACTCAAGGACAGGAGTAGTGTGGGAACGAGAGAGAGGGAGGGGAAGGTTTTCACTGTATACTTTTCTCTAACATTTATTTTTGTGTGAAGTTAATGTATTTCTAGTTCAAAAAATAGAAAATAAATATTCAGCTTCCTCTTTCCTCCTTCCTCCTTTCCTTCCCCAGCATTTGTTGGAGGCGGCTGGTGGGATTTGGGACTAAGCAGGAAAGGCAGCTGAGTGAGGCGGTGGCTCAGTGTGCCTGGGGATTGAACATACAGGTTCATAGATCAAGGATAATGAGAGCCAGGTTGCTCACCATCAGAGACGGGATTACAAGTATGAAAACAGGAAAGGCTAGAATAAACCCTGTGGTGTTAGACTGCAGTTGGAGGAATCAGTGTAAACTCGTGCCTTTTGATATATATAGTTACATAAGCATGCATGCAAGTGTGTGTGTGTGTGTGTGTGTGTGTGAGACACATATGTGCATTTCCCAGCTCTGTCCACAAAGACAGCAATAACGAATACACCATATAGCCTTGAATACACCTAACACCCAGATCTCTGGTTTTATTTTTTATTATTTTATTTTTATTTATTTATTTATTTTGAGACAGAGTCTTGCTCTGTCACCCAGGCTGGGGTGCAGTGGTATTATCTTGGCTCACTGCAACCTTCGCGTCCTAGGTGCAAGCGATTCTCCTACCTCAGCCTCCTGAGTAGCTGAGATCACAGGCATGCACCACCATGCCCATCTAATTTTTGTATTTTTAGTAGAGACAGGGTTTCACCATGTTAGCCAGGCTGATCTCGCATTCTGACCTCATGATCTGCCCACCTCGACCTCCCAAAGTGCTAGGATTACAGGCGTGAGCCACTGCGCCCAGCCCAGATCTTGGGTTTTAAATACCATCCTCCATTGAAAGGAATCAGGGATGGGGAAAATGGTAGATTTGAGGGCTGGGGTGGGGGGAAGTACTCAGTGCCTGGCACCGTGGTACATCAAGCATCTAACTGTGCCATAAGATAGGAAGGTGCTCAAGTAATACCGAGGACACGTTGAAAGGGCCAAGGTGCCAAGTTAAAGGGATTCTCCCAATAGCCAAATCTGGGACAATTTGAGTATCAGAATAATGACAGTAACAGATTATAACTATTAAATAAAAATAGTACTGATATAAGCACACATACATGTGTTACATACATACATACATACACACATGTGCAGGAGGAGAAAGCTCTTTCTTACATTAGAATACCCAATAAGAGATGGAGAAGGAAGGTTGGAAATAGTATAGTAATAATTGATTCGAGCAAGAAGCATTATTAGATGCTAAAACTCAAGCTAGATGCTAAAACTAAAGCTGTGTAGTTCATCTGAGGTATAGCTCCTCTGAGGTTCGTTGTCTCATGGCCACAGAAAACTAGGACTTGGACACAGCAGAGTGAGGTTAAGAGCAGAAGGTGAATATGCAAAAGGAAGAGAAAAGCTCTCTCTGTTGCAGAGGGAGGGGTCCTGAAGAAAATGGCTTGTCCCCAAGTTCATTCTTGTGGGCAATATGCAGTTCCTTGTGGTTGTGGGACTGACGTTATTCCACAAGATAAATAATTGCAAAAGGAAGGAGGGTGACTTTACAGTGAAGAAACATGGCAGAGATTGTCTTAGTCAAGTGATCAAAAGCTGCGTCACCTGTTATTGGACAAACTGGCATAAGCCTCCTGATAGGAAGCAGAGGGAAGAGTGAAAAATCACTTCTGTGATGTTCCTGCCAAAGATGCAAAACTGAAATCTAATCACGTGGAGCTATCAGATAAACCCAATGTGAGGAACCTTCTACAAAATAACTGGCCTGTACCCTGGGCAAGTATCAAGGTAATGAAAGGCAAAGAGAAACGGAGGAAGCATCATAGATTAGAGGAGGCTAAAGAGATAAGATGTAATACAGTGAGTGATTCTGGATGGATCTTTTTGTTTATTATAAAGGACATTATTATTGGGACAATGGACAATATTTGGGCTCTGAAGATTGGACGGTAGTAATATATCAATGTCAATTTCCTGATTTTGATGATTTTATTGTTGTTATGTAGGAGAACATACTTGTTTTTAGGAAATACACACTAAAGTATTCCAAGATAATGGGGAATCAAATTGACAATCTACTCTCAAACAGTTCAGAGAAAATCTCTCTATCTATAAATCTCTAAGAGAGAATAATAAAGCAAATATGTTTAAATGTCAACATTTGGAGATTCTTGGTAAATAATATATGGGAATTCTTTGTACAATGTTTGCAGCTCTTCTATAGGCTTAACATTATTTTAAAATAAAGGTATTTACATGAAACTGAAACCATATGTCAAGTAGTGATAAATGATAGTTAGAAAAATCAAGTGGGCAAGGGAACAGAAAATGAAGGGGTGGTGCTATTCTAGATGGTATGGTCAGGGCAGGCCTCTCTAGGGGAGGACCTTTGAGCAGAGACCCAGTGGGAGGGAGGGAGTAGCTCTGTGGACACTTGGGGAGAGCCTTCCAGGCTGAGGGACTCATCTGAGAAAAAGCCCAGAGTGGAGCCAGCTTGGCCCATGTATTAGTGTCTATTGCTCTGTAACAAATCATCACGAACTTAGTGGCTTTAAACAACAGCCATTTAGCTAACAGTTCTGTAAGTCATAGCCTGGCACAGAACAACTGGGTTCCTTGCTCAGGATAGTACAAGGTAGAAACCAAGGTATAGGCTGGACTTAGTTCTCATGTGAAGCCTCTGGGGAAAAAATTCACTTCCACATTCTTTTTTTTTTTTTGCAGTCGCAGGCAGGAAAGGAGGAAATTATCGATAGAAAAAGCTTGGAGATCCTGTTGCAGTCACCCATTGCACTGTTGGAGGCTGGGATTAGTCCATAAGTCTGCAGGTAATACCAGAGTGTTGCCCTGGCCAGGAGCTCTCCGTTGCCTCTGGACTTCTTCCAGCCCCACAGGACCATGGTGAGGCTCTCCTTGAAAGGAGACCAATCCAAAACAAAGCCAAGGTTCCCAGCACCCTGAGGGCACTGAGGGATTGGCTAAGTTCTCCCCGGCAAGCCTTTCCCCTGAGAAAATGGAGGACAGAGGCCTTAAAATGAAAGAGTTGGGATCTGCTCCTATACTCACCCTTTCAATGAATCTATCTTGGATCCCAGGCAGGCCCTCACAATTAAGCGGTGTTGTTCATCTGAGGTCCGTTGTCTCATGGCCACAGAAAACTAGAACTCAGCACACCAGAGTGAGGTTCAGAGTGGAAGTTTAATAGGCAAAAGAAAGAGAAAAGCTCTCTCTGTTGCAGAGAGAGGGGTCCTGGAGAAGATGGATTGCCCCCAAGTTCATTCTTGTTGTGGGCAATGTTCAGTTCCTTGCGGTTGTGAGACTGACAGTAGCAGACGATTTTCTTGTTGGCTGTCAGCTCCTAGAGGCCGCCTGCATTCCTTGATGTGTGGCCTCTCCATCTGTAAGTGAGCAGTGCTGTGTTGAATGCTCCTCATGCTTCACGTCTTTGACTTCCTCTTCTGTGACCAGCTGGAGAAAACTCACTGCTTTAAAAGGGCTCATAGGATTAGGTCAGGCACTGTGTTAGTTCACTTTTGCATTGCTATGAAGAAATACCTGAGGTTGAGTGATTTATAAAGAAAAGTGGTTTAATTGGCTCATCGTTCTGCAGGCTGTACCAGCATGGCTCCAGCATCTGCTTCTGGTGAGGCCTCGGGAAGCTTCCAATCATGGTGGAAGGTGAAGGGAGAGCAAGTGGTGTCACATGGTGAGAGCCAGAGCAAGAGAGAGAAGGGGGAGGTCTCAGACGCTTTTATTTTTATTTTTTGATACAGAGTCTCACTCTGTCGCCCAGGCTGAAGTGCAGTGGCATGATCTCGGCTTACTACAACCTCCGCCTCTTGGGTTCAAGTGATTCTCATGCCTCAGCCTCCCGAATAGCTGGGACTACAGGGGGTGCCACCACACACGGCTAATTTTTTTTCCATTTTTGGTAGAGGTGGAGTTTTGCCATGTTGCCCAGGCTGGACTCGAACTCCTGAGCCATGGCGATCTGCCTACCTCAGCCTCCCAAAGTGCTGGGAGTACAGGCATGGGCCATGGCACCCGGCCCCAGACTCTTTTGAACAACCCGATCTTCTATGAACTAACTGGTGAGAACTCACTTATTACCAAGGGGATGGTGCCAAACCATTCATGAGGAATCCACCCCCAAGATCCAATACCTCCCACCAGGCCCTGCCTCCAACACTGGGAATCATGTTTCAACATGAGATTTGGAGGAGACACACATCCAAACCATATCAGGCGCATACAGAGAATTTCTGTATCTTAAGGTCATTTATGCCAAATAACATAAGCTGATCACAGGAGTAAACACCACCATATTCACGGCTCAGGGTATTTTACAGGAAATGTACACCCGAGGGGGAGGCCTGGGCTGAAATCCTGGGGCCATCTTAGAATCTGCCTACCATAGTTAGGGGGGTTGAGAAACAAGAAAGCTAGTGTGGCTGGAGCACAGTGAACAGGGGGGTGTAGGCAGGAGAGAGAACAGAGTATCATAGGTGGAGAGACACATCTATACCACCTAGCTTGATGGGGGGCTGAGGGCCTGAAAGTCACCTTGTGCCATTTTGGTTCCTGAGGAAGGGGAGAGCCGTGTCAGTTCGTCCGTGGATTCACTTGCATTAAAAAACAACCCTGGGGTAGCACTCAGTAGATGATGTAAGTCAACAGAAGGCATGTTGAAGAGTAGCCCTTGGAGAACCAGTGGGCTGCTGGGCATGGGTGATAAGATCTGCTCTGTGCATTTGATCCAGCAGGCACAATGCCAAGAAGCCACGGGCTCGTCAAGGGTCCATGGAAAAGTCTGAAATCTAAAACAGCTGGCTGGAAAAATACTTTAAAACTTGCCAAACTTGAAAGACTTAATGAAGTACCTACCAAGTAGCATTGTGCCAACGGGTGATTAGCAATGCCTGAGTCTCCTAATAGTTACACATGCGTTCTATTTGATGTGACTGCATTTCGTTTCCATTTTAACATTATTATATTTATTTTTTCATAGTATCATGTGCAATGTACAAATAAAAAGTAGCAAAAGGAGACGCAGTGAAAAGCAAGTCTCTCTCTTACCTCTGACCCTCAGCCACCCTCTCCCCCTGAGGCCAGTTTCCTGTGCACAGAGGTATTTTGTGCACATGCTAATGAACGTGGATCTATACACTTGACTCCTCCCCTTTTCACAATGGTGGCTGTTCTGCCTGCTTTTTTGTTCACTTGGCAGTATATCTTGGAGATGTTTCCTATTGGCTTGTGTGGAGCTGCCGACTCTTTTGTACAGCAGCAGAGCAGTCTGTTATTTGGATGAACTGTCATTTATTAACTAGACATGCCCACAACCCTGCCACCTCTTTTCCTAACACACTGGGCAGTCTTTGCCTCTCCGGGGCTCCCTGGGAGAGCCACAACTTTCACACAGATGACACCCACCTCTGCACATGGAATCTGGCTTGCCCAGTGGCTACCTGACAGGGCTGAGTGACACCACTCAGAAGTGCAATGAAGTCAGAAGGCAGTGAAGAAGGAAGAAGAATTTATTAGGTGCCCAAGGAAGGGCTCAGTCCTGCTGATCTAAACATTGTCATTGACACCTCCTGATGTGTTTCTCTAGAATGGCTCCAGGGATGGATTGCTGGGAATGAGTACAAAATAATGCCCAATTGTTTTCCAGAGTGGTTGTACAGCTGACCCCCTTATCACCAGTGTCAAGGAGTCCTTGTTCCACATAACTGATCACATTTGGATTTGTCTAGCTTTTTAAATTCTGCCAATCGAGTAGACAGGAAATGAGCTTTTAATTTGGATTTCTCTAATTACTCAGAGGTTGAGCATCTTTTCAAATGTTTGTTGGCTGTTCATGTTTTCTCTTCTCTATGTCCAAATCTTTAGCCCATTTTTCTTTTGATTATTTGTCCTTGTCTTATTGATTTGAAGGGGCTCTTTACGTATTTGAATGCTAATCTTTGTCAGTCAAACTGTTACAGATATCTTCTAGCTTGTGACTTGTCTTTCCACTTTTAAAAAATGGGGAACTTTGATGAACAGTATCAGTTATAATGTAATGGATTTATTACTATTTGCCTTTATGGTTTGTCCTTTCTGTTTCTTGCTTCGGAAATCCTTTTCAACCCAAAGCCATCCCCATGTTTCTGTGATGCACATGTGTATATATATATGTATGTGTGTGTGTGTGTATGTGTGTGTGTGTGTATATATATAATTTTTTTAAGTTTTTTTTGTCTGTAAGTTTATTCAATGTAAAATAATTCTCTCCAATTTTACTGAGGTGGCTGACCATGTCCATGACCAAATCCGGCTCGAAACTGGAATTCGGTTGCTGACCCAGCCCCAGCGTCAGCTTTCTTGCTGGTACCAGGGGTCACAGCGCTCTGTCTGTAGGTATCTCTGTCGGTGTCCCCTCTTGTGAGTCTTGCAGGTCGCTCACCCTCCAGACCTTTAGGCTGAGGCCTGCCAGTCTCTGGATGGCTGTGGCGTAGGGTGGCAGGCACAATCCCCTGGGGAGATGGAGGTCATCATGGGGATACTGGATACCCTCATTGGTAAGGTACCAGTAGGAGCGTCTCCAGGCAAACTGTTCCTTCACGTAGCCCTGGGACTTGAGAGACTGCCTGGCTTTCATGACACGAAGATTGGGCACATTCTTGTCTGCCAGCTCTGGTGCTTAGGCATGTGGACGTCCTTCTTGGCCACTATGACTCCCTCCTTAAAAAGGAGTTCATACATGGCAATCCGGTTCTTCTTAGACATCAACATCTTGGTGGCTGTAGGGTCCAGAGCCGGGGCTGGAAAGGAAGGAGCATGCCATATATATATATATATATATATATTTTTTTTTTAAAAGAGATCATATGTGCATACTGTTTTTTAGCTACTTTTCCACTTACCTAAAATGAACATTTTTCCATGTCTAAATGTTCTATGGCATCATTGGTTGCATAGTTTTCCACTGTATGGAATATACGCTCTTCATTTACTGAATCCCCTATGGTGAACATTTAAGTTGCTTTCAGCTTTCACTATGATCAACAATGCTGCCAAGAATATACTGAAGCTGTTGTGGTCCACATTCCTGATTATTTCTCTTAGATAAAGTCATAGAAATGAAATTGCCCATAGAATTTAAGGTTTCTGATACATTTTACCAAATTTGCCAGAGGATCCACTTTTGATTCCTTTCCAAGAAGCATTATGCCGTCGTGTTCAATTGCCCTTCCCAAGAGTCTGGAATCAGCAACATAGGGGTCCTGGAGATGGTGTGTTGAACCAGAGCTGTTAGCAGGCATGTTCTGTTGTGTGCAGAAGAAGTTACTGTGGCACATAAAGATTTTCCCTGTCCTTTTCCTTCCTACCCTCTCCCCACTCCTGACAGCTAAGATGCCATTATTAGTATTATTAAAAGAAAAGAGCCATGAAATTAGGCCTGCTTTGGTAATGATTCTCGGCAAATTAATTGCATTTCCAATGGCATAAGCTCTTGTCTCAACCAGCACCTCTATGTGTTGAAGGCAGGAAGAGGGGTCCCCTACAGCTGCTGCCCCCTGGGCTGGACAAATAACGTTCTCATAAATTGTTTGCCCAGTCAATGAAGGATTTGTTTTTTTGTTTGTTTGTTTTGTTTTGTTTTTGACAGGGTCTCATTCTGTTGCCCAGGCTGGAGTGCAGTGTCATGATCAGGGTTCACGCAGTCTTGACCTCCTGGGTTCAAATGATCCTCCCACCTCAGCCTTCCGAGTAGCTCAGACCACAGGCACACGCCACCACACCTGGCTGATTTTTGTATTTTTTGTAGAGATGGGGTTTCGCC